TGAAACGAAGTTCATTAGAGGGCAGAAAGAATTTTATTTCCTTTTCAGTGAGAACAAAAAGAAATCATAAGTACTTCAAGAAAATAAAAGGAGACAATACACAATATGGCAGTTATTAGGCTCTGATGCCACATACCAACTTACAAATTCTAAGCCTTACATTTCAATATCATATCACATAATCCCACACCAATACATCCATAGTCTTGCCCACTTTACAACATATCAAGAGGGCGGGGAGAGGTTATTTCTGGGTTTGCCTCTTCCTGTTTGATATAGTTTCATGTGCGATCCCATGGCATCTGGGTGCTTAAAGGAGTTTACCACAAGAGCAGACCTCGTTATGCCTGCATGCAGAGGTGACTTTGAAAAAGATCTTCAGGGCATTTGCCACAATATACAGTAGGGGATCTGTCCAAAGTGTGTTTCACCATTTGAACTTTTGGCTTGAGCAGGTTTATGCCAGAAGGGCTTCTGCCTGAGTCTGTTATCTGCATTTCATGCCTAGGTTAGGGCCTTGCCTGTGAAAGTTTGTTCGTTATGACCTACACAGGAATTATAAGTAACACATAGAGGCAAGCCTGTTTCCCCTTTCCCTTTTCCCGGGAAGCTAGCATTCAGGACCACTGATGTAATAGCAACATGCCTGATGAATTGTCAGTTTGAGCATATTCTACTGACAGGTCCAGAGGGGGTAGAGAGGACAGATCCATGGCATTCAATGACAGGCTGGAGTTTAACATTTCTGATCCCCCATTCCAGACAGGATCCCAGGGTGGACAACATACCCAGAATATTTCCCAGTGTTTTACTTAGCTTTCTGCGCTTGAACAGAAGGGTTCTTTGTACTGGACATTGACTCATTTCCCTTTATTGTAGATATAGACCCCTCACTTCTCCTGAGCTGCAAGTTGGGAATAGCTATTAGCACAAGCATAACCTTTTTGGAATGGGCTCTGTGGGAATCCCCAATTATACAGCTGCCAATATTTTGAATGGGGTATTGATTAAATGAAAAATTGTAATCAAGCTAGTCTGATCAGCACCCTTCTTTTTATTTCTGGTGTTTCTCCACAAAATGCCAGCCCCCAAACTGAGCACCAAGCATGGTTTCTGCCTTTCGGGATTCTGATGAGTGGCCTTTTGCCTCACTGCTACTTTATCCCCAGTACTGACATCTGAATTGTGAGAAAGATCTGGTTGGGATTCTTGCCTTTCAAAGCATGAAGAAAAATTTGCTTCCTAGTCTCAAATTCTATGTTTCTGAAGTTGTACGTGAAGATTTAAAATGTTTTAATTCTGCATGTGAATTACGAGCACCACACCAATTTTATTAGAATCCTGGGAATAAATTTAGTACTTAGCTGAATTTCAGGAACATTTCTGAAGTGCCCTTCGGGGTCAACTTTTGCTTGAAGGAATTTGTAGGCAAGAATGGAGATGGAGTTCAGTTTCCAGCAGAACAAGGCCTTCTTTATTAAACAAAGAAAAACGCCGGTCAGGATTTGCACGAACAGAGCACAAGTGGGGCCAGATAACAGAGCATCCCAGGAGTACGTACAGTTGGGAATCTGCAATGGGGAACAAAATCCTCACTCCAGCCCTATTTAGAGAAACTGGTAGCCTGCAGGAAGTTGCCGAATTGCTGGAGCAGAAATGGCTCATTATATTACAATCTAAACTTCCACAAAAACCTCTGACAGAGAGAGAGCAAAGGTAAGGAAGATGAAAGAAGGAACCATAATCCTTAGTGATGTATGTCATTTGTTTTGAAGAAGACTCATTTTCCAAATCTCTGGCCAATAGTTTTTGGATTAGTATTGGGAAGGAGGCATCAGATCACAATTGGTTTATCAGATCATAGCTGCCCATGCTTTTTCTCAGATTTATAATATTCTAATTCTGTATTATGTAGTGAGGCATTTGGGGAGCTGGGAGGAGTATGGCATTCCCTAATTATTCCGATGCTTTATCTGAGGAAGATTTAGATCCCTTGCAATTCAATAGGGTTTTCAAACCCTGACTTAGAGAGGGCTTTGATCAGAACAATTAGGACCTATCCCATTGCCATCATTACCCCACACCAGTTGGATAAATGTGGACTAAGAGTACTCTGTCTAATAGAATTGCAATAGTTACACAATCACGCCCAAATTATGATCGTAAATGGTTCTGTGTTGTCCTAGAGGGATGCATCAAGCGAGAGTGCTGACTTCATAAATTCCTATCCGAACAGCTGTGTTTTGGCAATGGAGCCAGGTTGGTGCTCAGTCCAGCCTACAGCCACTGCAGGCCCTGAATGGTTGTTCCCCTGCTCTTTGTCCTTCCCATCTTTATAGTGAAGGCAAGTCTGACTGGCTGGCTCCTGTCTGAATGACTCCCAGTACTTCTCTTTTTCTTTCAGGGAGAGCTCCTTCCTCATTCTTTTTAGCCTCCATTCTTTTTCTTTACTTTCCCAGATGTTTGTACATCTGGATGCCTTCACATCCCCTTCCAGCATTCTCTCATTTAACACAGATCCTTGCTTCCCTGCACATAAGGGCTTGTACTATTGTTCCTTAATGTTGTTCCCTAATTCTGCTGTAGGTCCATAGAAACTTGATGGCAATTAACAATTGATGGTTCAGGTTCATAGGAACGAAGAAGTAGCAATTGAAACTTGGTAGCTTGGCTCCAATCTCCCTACTTTGCAACTTAAAGGTAAAAAAAGAGGGAGGGAGGAAGGTGGAACCATTGCAGTAAGCGGTACAGTAAAAGGAGGGAGGGA